TCTCCTTCTTTGCAGCCTGACGAAGAATGTGCCTATCTTTGTGTGTACCATGGCTTACCCCACCGTGCCTTGCCCCCTGCATGTCTTCGAGCCACGTTACCGCCTCATGATTCGCCGCTGCATGGAAACAGGCACACGGCAGTTTGGGATGTGCATAAATGATCCTCAGAAAGGGTGAGCATGCAGGATTTAAAATTGCACCTCTCTGTATATCTAGAAAAGAGGTTCATTTAAGATCATCCATCATTAATTGTAAAATACACCATGATAAAAAAACTGCTAAATATGTCAAGCAGGCAATCAACTGCTCAATTGTCTAAATAAACTATTGTGTCCATCCCTGTAGGTTTGTAGATTATGGCTGCATGCTGACCATCAGGAGTGTCCATTTTCTCCCCGACGGAAGATCAGTAGTGGACACCATAGGAGGAAAACGCTTCCGGGTACTGTCCCGAGGAATGAAGGATGGATATAGCACTGCTGACATTGAGCACTTGGAGGATACCAGGGTAAGAATCTCAGTGACTAACATTTGAATGATATTCTTGACAGTATGTTATAATCATGCTCTCCCCCAAATTTTTGACATTTTTAAATAGGAAAATAGGAAACTACCTTTCAGATTAGTTGCCAGTTCTTTAGGAATATATTTTTAAGTTTAAACAATCCAAATGTGAATGATAGGTTAATTGTTTCTTTTCTATTAGGTGGAGGACAGACAAGAGCTAGAGAGACTACAAGAGCTGCATGATGCTGTATATGAGCAGGCCCGCGACTGGTTCCAGAACCTCAAGATCCGCTTCCACAACCAGATCCTGCAGCACTTTGGACCAATGCCAGAACGAGAAGCTGACATCCAGGTAAACATCCAGCACAGTGCCCCTCTACTTCCATCTGTAGAGATTTGTCTATTCCTCCCCAGATTAGTTTATGTAACTATATTGTAAACAGAGTTCTTAAGGAGTGTAATGTTAATTACACTTAAAATATTAAACATCGCTGTATAGTGCATGCTGCAGTAGACTGTAGACTGTAGCAGGAGTGTTGATGCCTGAGTCACAGGCAGAGCATTAGACCAAATGTTTGCACTGGTCTTTGATTCTGTTTAAACAATAGAAATATATGTTTGCCTGTGGTGGTTCCCTTGCATTTGCTGTCTTTGCACACAAAAATATTTAACTTAGTTGATGCATATGGGATTAAATGAATAACTGATATTGGCCTTATTTGTAATACTGTATATCGTGAACAGTGTGAAGAATTCAAAACCGAGCTTGTGGTTATTTAGAATTAGTAAACTGGAATGTGATAACATGATAACGTGGTATTATAGTAGTGTCAGTTTTGGTCAGTGTGAGAAAATAGTCTGCAGCAGTGAGTTGGCAGCGTATCACAGCTAAGCAGAGGGTAGTGTCTGCTAAGAATCAGAAGTCATTGTTTACCTGCCTGCCTCCAGTACATGTGGTTGTCACAGCCGTTATTACTTAATCTGACACTGCGAGACCCTGTAAATTGTTAGTCTTAAACTGGATCATCTCATGACACACTTGCCTTTTGGGGAAACCCACATCACTATGGATTCACCTGCCTCTGAGGTCTTAATGCGGGAACACAGTTGTTGTGTGTGCTCAGCCCTGGCTCCGACTCACAGCCTGCAGCGCTGAAAAGGATTACAGCACCGCTCTTAGGACAACCACAGGGCGGAGTCTATTGACAATGTAGGCTAAAGAGCTTTATGGGTGCTTCATACCTAATCCCACCGGTCCTGTTGCGTCACAGGAGTGTCATGAAGAGAATCCCCAACTCTGCCATGTGCACACACACTAAAACAGCGAAGCATTGACCATGATTTTTGGTGGTGTTGTTTAATTTCTGACAGTAATTATTTGGTTAATGTAATCTAAAATGTAAAATGTAGTACAGACATAGCAAACATTCACGTCAAAGTGCTAAGCACATTTTGTAACTGGCTCAGACTAGAAACAGGGATTTTTTTCAGTGGTGTAAGTCTGACACAGACATGCATTCCTCTGGCAGATTACCGTAAAAGGTCATATATGTTTGAACTGTAGAGAATGCCAGTGCATGTGGTTGTCGATACAAAATGAGAATTTCACTTAATTATCAATTATTCAACTGGACTGTTTAAGTTCAAGACACTGGAAGGCTTTAACTCTGACGCAGCTACAGGCCTGTGGTAACTGCAGGATCGTTAAATAGTTAAAAACATATTATTTTGTCCGCAGATTAGTTTGGGTGATTGAACGGCTGAATGGATTTCCTTGCAGCTCTGACAAATCATGTCAAAAGAGGGCAGATAGGAGAACAGTGAGGCCTCTGTCTGTTATATGAACAAGAATGTAGCGGGACAGTTACACAGGAGCTACGTAGGTACTGGTTGGACCTGGTATTGGAATTGGTTGGTCCTGAGTAGTGATTTGCTACACATGATAGAAAAGAGTCATTTAGGTTCAAATGTTGACACAGTTGTTTCTTTGGGTTGGGAAAAGGGAAAAACTGTTTCTATTGTATCTATAATTAAAACTACAAACATCCAAAAAGTTCACTTCACCTTCTAGACAGTAAGCTGGTCCATGTGACTCAAATAATATCACGGGTCTTGAGAAAGATTTTTGGTTGTGAAAGCAACGGTCTTATACTGTTCCTTCTCTCTTTTAGGCAACTCCTAATGGTCCAGCTTGCTGCTGGTGGCTGCTTGCTGTTCTGCCTATCGACCCACGCTACCAGCTCTCTGTCCTCTCTATGACCAGCCTCAAAGAACGCCTGGTGAAGATCCAGCAAATCCTCACATATCTGCAGAGCATCCCCAACAACTAGAGCTTCCTCATCTCATCACCACAAACATCCTTTGGACTTTGAAATAAAATTCAAGCAACCTTGAATCAACATCTCGCCAACTCTTCTCTGCCATCCGGTTCCTTCAACAAGACCCCTTTGTATTAAGCCTACACAAGATCCGAGCAAAGCTAAAACATCCTTGAACTGTGGATCACTGAAACCAGAGATGTGAGCAAACCACCTCAGGGATACTTCCAATGACACACATGATCTGTTTGTGAATGTCAAAATTATTAAAAAAATAAGACAAATGTAACAGGAACTATTCTTATCTGCTCTCATTGTTAACACAATTCTTTTTCATAAGAGACCTTCCTCAAATTATGTTTTTGAAATGAGAAGAGCAGTTACAGTTCCACCCTTGAGGCTACCTTCTTTAAGGACAGTGCTTATGGAGCTGAGGAGAAGAAGGCATCATCATTGTGTTGCATCGTCTGTGGCGAAACCACTGAAAAGGAGTGGTTTTCCTCCTGGCTGGAAGATGTGTGTTATTGTAGAGGAGGGTTGATGTGATTCTGTGGAACAAAATCCTAAATGCTGAAAGTCAAAAAAGTGATAGCAAGATGTGGTTTGGAGGAACCACCGAGAAGAGATTTGTGCAAAACCAAGTGCAACTTAAGGCTGGTGTATGTGTGTATGTGTACCAAACACTGATGAAAGTATTAATTGATCTCTTCTAAGCATCAAGTTTCTTTCTTACTCATTTCTCCCACATGCTTACCACGCACAACTTCCATCACTGCCTCTAAGTAGTGGCAAAAAACCTTCCTGTTGTCCTTCCCAGCATTTTTCACTGTACGTTTCTTCCAAGTTGCACAGAGATCGTTCATTTCATCCCTTGTAACACTGGGTCCGATCATGCGTGGCCCTGAAATCTCATCTTATTTCTATGCTTTTTAAACACTTTTCAAACACTTTTCTTCCTCTCACAGTTAACCTTAAGCTGTATGGACTATCTTCCAAAAAGATGTGTTTCTTGTATTATTTGTCTCTCCTCTAAACCAAAAGATCAAGCTACCCATAGAATTAACTTAAAACTGAATTAATTTATAAGTAAAAAATATATTTGTACATTCTGACAATGTGTTTGTATGAGAAATTCTAAGGGGGTCTTGCAATATTATGACGGATCAAAACAAGACAATAACAGCATGTATGCAGCCAGTGGGTTAGCATTATTCTTCATTCTAAGCTGCTCTTGGTTTTCTTGGAGGAGAGAGGACGGTACCAGCAGTGCTTCAGTAGGGACTGCATTTGCCTTACACCATTTTGCATTGTGATTTGAATATCATGATGCATTGGCTTGGTTACCATTCCTTTTTGCCATTGTATGAAGTAAGTTTTAATTCTGTTGTTTTCCCTCTCGGTTAGTTCGAGGCATCATTTGTTGACAGTGTATAAAAAAAATCTGAAAGAAAGTTCAAGTCAAGGCTGTTGTATGTAAATCATCTGTGAAAAGGCTTTTTGGACAGATCTTGCTTTTTGCTCAGTTTTAATTTATCAATTTGAATAATAAATGCACTTCTTTTTTCAACTTAAGCCTCAGTGTCCACTATTTCACCAATCAAGCAATCAGTTGCAGCATACTGGAGCTTTTACCTCACAGCGAGGGTCTGACGTTGAAAACCCTCCAAACCTTTCTCGATAACATTGAATATTCATGAGCAAAGTGAAAGTTTGATTGACAGTATCCAGTTGAACCACTAACAGATTCTAATTAAGATGTTGCTTAACCAACAACAAAGCCCTGTCCATTTTAAATTAATCGGAAGAGCACAGAGGGGGAAAAAACCACAAACCTCTCGTGAAATAACCAGAACTATTCCAACTTTGGCAGAAAATAGTGTGTTCATGTGGGACTCTATCACACAGAGTAAGATTCAGTTGGAAAAATACGTTCTCAGGCCCATAACCCATGTATGTGCATATGTTTATACTAGTCCCCCACAAACCTGAAGATAAAATAAAAAACTGGGTAAATAAAATAAATCAAGCTTCATTTTTAAGACCTAAAAAAGTCTGTACCCTTCTTAACCACAAGGGGGGGACAGTGCAGCATTATTGTCACATAGAGTTTACTGTTTCATAACTCACCCTTTACCCTCTGCACTTACTCAAATTCAACTTTTATTATGAAAATATAAACAGATCTCTTTGACTCTATTGTGTGTTTACAATCAGGCATTTTTTTAGTCCATAATGACACAAAAGCAGCAGGAAGAAGACAGCCTTCCAGTGAATCCAGTGTTGTATGCTCCATCCTCTTCCATCAGAGGTCATCGTGCAGAAAGCATCATAACAAACTCTGCAGAGGGAGACAGAGACAGCAGCAGATCAACTGATTAGGACTTACGACATTCTAATATTATAAAAATACAGCATGGGATGCAGCCACATCATTATCAGCCCGCATGAAATTGTACTGGAAAAGTAACAGCTCATGGTGTGATGTAATGACAAAATGTTTCCATTATCACCAAGTTAATGAAAAAATGAGGCTGGGTGATATGTCAAAGAAGAAAAAGGAGAAAGGATGCATTTTAGTTAAAATTTTAAATATGACATTTCTTTCTGTTGTTGAAGCGAGATAAAGTATAGGACTGGGGTTTCCAGACAAATATGCGAACTGCCAGTTTCCAGGCGGTGTTTATCTCTTCTTGTAATCAGTAATCAGTTTGATTACCACTTGTTGCAGCTTTCTGTATCCATTATTGTACATACACTTGTCAATCAACACACCTATTGATGTGTCCTGTCAATAAAACCTAGCTGCAGATAGCTTGAGGCAGGTTTCACTAAATCCATCCAATCAATCACGTCTTCCATTTCCCATTGACTTCCTGAAGCGCTTTGCTCTGAAAGACGTCTGATTCTAGGTGAGAATCTATTGATTGACTGAGTACTAAAGCTTAATTCCAGATTAACCCACTAACATTATCTCTTGAGGTGCTCCTCTAACCATTTTCTATGAAAAGAAGTAAACCGAGCGGAACAGCAGCTCAGTCCGAGGCTTCCTAACAGCCGAGATTGACCTGACACCTGGATATTCAGAATGATCTTGTCACTGCTGCCATGGATGCCTGTTTTCTGCCCACATGGCTTAACCGGACAGATACACTCAAATGCTGCCCTAGGGGCTAATTGATGATAATGAGGAGCACCTGCTTATTGATCCCCTCTGAGCCTGACATGCCTATTCATATGCTCCCAATAATTGTAATTGATTGGATTGCTGAGACAAGACAAACAGGATAACACCTCCAAGCCCTCTGTGTGCTGCAGCCTATCGTTCTATCATGCATGAGGTGTTGATAGTGTCTGCACACATGCACATCGCCCGTGTGTGTGATTGTGTGCCATCGTATTGTTTATATGCTTCTGAGGTAGCATGTGGTAATGACATTTCTGTAAAGTCCTTGAGCTGTCCAACAGTGTGTGTTCTTTGTGTAACATGTGACAGGTGTCCAGGCATGCGTATTGATTGGCTTAATGCACTACTGATTAGATTGGATTGGCCCTTCCAGCCAACCCACCTTGACTTAACCATCCGCCCTTTCCCATCTCACCCTTTTCCCGCCTCATTTCTTACTCATTTTCTCCTTCTGTCCCCTTCATCCTCAACCCATTCCAAATAGATTCACTGACCCCTTCTGCTTTGTCCTCTCTGGTGCGTGCTTCCCGCCTGAACACCAGTGATTCCCAACCTTTTATAATGAGCTCAAGTAACCCCTTCAACGACCATATCCGTCATGTTGCAATTGTTTCTTATGAATGGATTATAAACTGGCTGTTACTGTACTGTACCACATGCTATTATAAAAACTGACTATTTCTACTGGATTAGTCAAAAAGCTTTCACAATCATTTATCTATCTTACCTTTACCTTCAACTATTTCAACTGTTTATCCATTACCTAGCTAATACAGATTTCTTATACATATACCCAACTAATTCAAGTACTCCATCACATTATCTATTTTATCCATTTCCTTTAGTTAATTATTTAGAGTTTCCTGCTTGCTTGGTAATTCACCCACTGCAACTGACTCAGGACGGGCTGCTTGCTAGGGATGAGAAGACAGGGTTCTTTTAAGCAACTGGATTTGCTTCGTTAACCCCCTAATGGCAAACCAACTCATGAACGGCTGTTTTAGGTCTGTATTTTTTCACCCTCAAGTCCACCAACCGCTCAGCATCAAAGTCAATGTTGTTGTGTTTGTTGAGCTCAATGTTGACTCAGAGAGACTTTCTGAGTTGAAAGTTAACCTGGTTTGGGGCACCCCAGTAGCTCCCCTGGTTGAGCTCGCGGCCCCTGTACTAAGTACTTACCATGACGGCTTGAGTTTGATTGCAGCCTGTGGCCCTTTGTTGCGTGTCATCCCCTCTCTCTCTCTCTCCCACTTTCCTGTCTACCTTCAGCTGTCTCTATCCATTAAAGGCATAAAAAGGCTGACGAATATATTAACAAAAAAGAAAGTTAACTTGGCTCTTATGCACAACAAGTGCAAGCAGAATTTGGATCAAGATTTTGGATTCACTCTTCTCTTTAAAGGTTGTTCACAAACCTGGTCATTTCAAATTTATTAGCATCACACCAATTTGTAATTCTATTTAGCAGCTTATTTTTGTCCCTCCTGTCTCTGTGTTTTATCATTGTTTTTTAATAATTGTTTTAATGCTCATTCACACCTTGCCTGGAGTCCACTCATGTCCAACACATTTCTCCCTCCAAGTCCCCAGCCGCTCACCATCAAAGTCGATGTTGCCGTCTTTGTTGAGGTCAATGTCGGCGAGGATCTCCTCCAGCTCACCCTTCTTGAGCTTCTCCCCCAGGAGGGTCTTCATGCCCTCTTTGAGCTCATCAATCGTGATCTTTCCATCGCCATCACAATCAAACTTCAACAGGAACGGTTAGGGGGGATCAAGGAGGTGGGGACATGAACATGTCGTGAGTAAGGGACAAATAAATAGATAAATCAATCAATAATCATAAATAGATCATAGGTCAAGAGGATTAGAGGTAACACAAGGACCAAAGAAGAACATTAAATGTTTCTGGGCTAATGAGGATGGCGGAGAGATTAAATAAAGCATGATGTGATAAGTAAAACAGACAGACAGAGGTACAGAGATTATGCCTTGCAAAAAAATATTTTAAAGGTAGAAGTCACATTTACAGTATATAGTTACAACATGTCTGCACGAGTTCCCTGGAAGTCTGAAAACAGCTTGAATCTGCAGATGGGGCATTGCTGACTCATGAGGTGTTAGTACTGAAGTGAGAAAGTCTTTTGAAGTGACTATGAGGCTCAGTTGGGATGAGTTTAAAATATATTTTCATTTGTTCAGAGAGAAGACAGAGCTCTGAAGTTGGAGAAGTTTTTGTTCAGAAGTAGTAGAGTTTAGAGCTAATTCATAATTCTGAATTTTTGGACTTTGATAGCATTACTCAGGACCTTGACGATGACGCACAAGTGAGGAATAAACTGAAGACGCAGCTATGTCTTATCTTTCAACAGAACAACTTACGCTTAAAAAATTCAACATTTGTCAATGGGTGGGTTATTCTATTGACAAATTTTGCTTTATAGCTCCAAAGGGGGTTACATTTTGGTTGTACAACTATACAATGTATGATATTTCCACGTAGAAAGCACATTTTATAAACTAATTTGTAATTAAACTAAATATCACTTTAATGACTGATGTTCAATTTCCCCCTTGGTTTTAATAGAGACCTAGTCAAACTAAGTGCACACGGCTACATTTGTAATCTAGATGAATTAATCCCAGAAGCATATTGTACACTCCAATACATTGTCAGTTATAATCATTAAGATCATATTATCAGTGTTGTCTGTTGTGCAGTAACCATTAAAAACCTATCATGCTGTAATGTGTTAAATGGATGAACCCAGGTGTGAGAATCTGTGCTCATAAATAACATGATCACCTCATTTGTTTTGCTTGGTCAGAGATTACGTCACACCTAGGCTTTGGGGGACAACCAATTTAGCACTTGTCTACCTGCCTCTGTATTGACGTCAAAGAGAGGAAACTCAATAGTGTCTAATACGCACAAATTAACAGGTGAGACACATATAGAATATAAATTGTGTCTCTTTGGATGGCAGGGATCAGGTTTCATAAAAACAGCATCAATATCAATATTTTCCTTTCCCCTTCAACATTTTTCTTCTGCATTCACAGCCAGCTCCCCTTCTTCCCTCGGACTTGTTTACAAGTAAGAGCCATGCACTCTTGACACCCTCGAAGGAAAGGTCCTGTTGCACACTTCACAGTACTGTCATAGGCTCCTTTCCCTGGCTGGAAGTCAGACTTCTTTAAAGTTTCTAGCTGGGGACCTCTTACCTGTTTGAAGGCACAGCGGAGCTCCTTCAACCCGACCATATGAGCCGTCTCAGCCAGCATCCTCGGCCCCATTAGTTCACAGAAATCATCAAAGTCCACATGCCCACCCCCTGCAGAAAGACAGAAGGACACACACATACAGTAGCTGCAGACACACGCACACACACAGGTTGACTACCAAGTAATAACTTCTATGCCTCCCTGGAGTGTCTATGCTTCATATACAGATTCATGCATTAAGCATGAAGGTGTCAGTGCATATTGGCCCCATACAGTAGGTCTATAGTTAAATTATCTACCTGGTAACAGTGATGGAAGAAGTATTCCGATTACACGCTTAAACCCGCATTAATTGACTTTTTTGGCCACTTTGGGGTTGAACAAGCTTAAAGCACGACATTAACATATTATCACTTTGTAGTCAATGTGCTGAACATGGTAGCAAACAGTTGTTTATTTACACATGCAGTAGACACAAGCATTCATTTTGGAGTCATGTTTCTGGCAACCTACTGAATGCAAGTCCAATATTCACTCTACTTTTAGCTTTGTTTTGGTCTCCACCAGCTCCTGAGAGAAACATCTGTTTCTTAAGCTGCTACACTGCAAATGTTTCTGTGCTTGCCAAGATTTAACATCACTGATCTCAGATGGAAATACAAGATTAACTATCTTGTTTTATATGTATTTTACTAGTTTCTATTTTTGACATTCACGGTATATTCCTAAATTGATTATGGGCATTTCTTTTATGCATAAATTAGACAGGAAATCTTAATATTGAGTAATTTACTGGTAAAATAAGCTTTATTATACAGAGACTTCATCAGTATTCTCCTGTCAAAATGCTCGTCAGGTCGTTGAACAGCATCTGAACCCCCAGTACTATCAAAGCCTGTTGGCCTTCTCGACGACGGCAAGCTTTTCACCCCAGCTTCGACTGGTTGTTCTGCTCAAGCTTTTGCCTTGCAATGGTCAGATACATCATAAAAACGAGTTCGTTTTGAGCATACCTTTGCCTTTAGACGGTCACACTGTCAGCACCAAATTAATTTAATAATACATTTCCTGTGTCATTTTTCCAGGACTTTTTCAGTTGGGCAGATGGACAATAATTTATCATATTGTTGAGCTTATCCTATTTTAGTGAGGTAAAGCTCCCAAATAAATGTTGAGTAAAATAATTCCTTTTAAATATAGTAATGCAGTTATCAACACTACCCAGTGGTGTAGTGCAGCATATAGGCAGTAACACTTATTTTTCAGTCAACACTGGGTATACTCACTGCTAAATCCTCTATGATGCCATCATTCAATAGTGGTCATGCGAGCTGAATTCTTTATGCCGCAGGCATGGCATAGCTGTCTGATTTTCAAGAGTGGATGAAATAAGGAATAGGGAGTACTTCACTCAAAATGCAGAACTACGTAGTTGTCTCCTTTGCCTTTAGTCTGTGGGCCAGTACTGTTTGCAAAATCTGCACCTCTTCTGTGTCCAATGTTAATTTAATAATGATCTATACTCACTGAGGTCAAGCAGCAGAAGTTAAGTCTTACATGTCAATGTTTATAACACAGGCTCTTTTATCCTTTGCTGGATGGGCTACTTAAAATAGCAATAATTAGGATACCCACTTCTCCAGGCACCACCAACACTGACGCTATCTAATGAGGAGATATTCAAAGTACAAATACCAGTACAAGTACTTATAGAACTACTTAGTACTTAGAGGTAGTAAAGGTAGTCGTACTGCATCTGGTCTTTCCTGACTTAATACCAAGATGGTCTGTGAAACGTGTATGAATGTCCTTAGTGCATGGAAACTATTACCATAGATTCAGCTATGTGCTCATTATGCTTCCTTCAACCCTCTTAGAACCAGCTTTGTTTTGTTTGATCCCCATGGTAATTATCAAAACAGACCGATACAATGGGAAGGCTCATGTTATTAGTTGAACAAAAGACAGGCTTATTTGATAGTGTAGACCAATACACTCGGCCTGTTTTCATTAGCCGTGCCTTGGCGGATGTGAAAGACTACTTCAATAAAGCCATGTGGTCATTTTGTGGTTCAAAAAATTTAATCAGTGCTTAGAGTTTCAGGACTGTTGAGGATGAAATATAACTTTGTCAAACTATTCTTGCTTGGAGAGCACTTTTAATGGTGCTGAATCTTGAAACTAATGGCTCAAACTGTCATGTACTAGTTACAACAGCAGCTGAAGGATTCTGAAATAAAAGGCCATTAATTCTATGATTTTTGAGTTGGCCAACAATTTTCATACTTGCCTCGAGGTATGGTTTATTTTTTGGCTGACTGTCTTTACCCTTGTGGAGCAGCAGTCTGTGGGGGCTTTCTGACACCACCTTGAAGAATGTCTGTGCCTTAAGTGGGTCAGTCTATAATCATAGAGTAGAAAAATTCTCCTAAAAGTCTAAGGAGATTATTATTATTTTTTAATTGATAGTGCAATGCTAGTTATATTAAAAAAAAGAGGAAATTTCATGGTGTTAATGGTGCTATAGGGATTACATTACAGAGATTAAACTAAGAGTGTCTGAAGCCCACTCTACCTTATGGTTCAAATTAAGGCATCACTGAAAATATGAATAATTTATATTACAAAGTATGACACATAGCATAAGTCTACACAAGTCTATAATGTAGTATGACCACAACCAAATCCCTGAATAGTCCTCTCGTGGCTACCGTTTCAGGTAGAGGGAAAATGTTTCTCTACACAGTTTGAAGCATCACATATAGTTTATCTCCCTGTTCCAGCTTTACATTTAAGTTCTATTGTGTAAAGCTTACTGTATACAGTAATTCAAAACATAGCTGCAAGATAACATCAAGTGGTAAAGCCACAGTGAAATATATGTAATTTCTTACAGTTTTCCCCATAATTCAGCACGATGTATTTGGTAATTTAAAGTTCTGTAGTCTTAAACAATAGTATAGTTGATGTTGTAATTTTTTGCAACAGATGAGGACTTTTGTATGAAATCTTTACTTGAGGTTAATGCAACAGTAGCATCCTTGCTGTTGTCGTCCTAACATCTAATCAAAAAATCTATTTGCACCTAGGACTCCAGGTGAGTCTAATTAGCTAGCTGGTAGCACAGAAGCCAGATGCACTCTGGTCCCTGTGGATCACAACCGAGAAACACTGCCTTACTGTGGCCAAACATTTACTCTGTGGACCCAAAATCCAATATTTTGCTCATTATTAGTGTTATTGTCCTGGGGGTTCAACACTATGTTACATATGTGTAAACTGATCCTGAATTTAGCTTATTTCTCAAAGCAGGCACATACATACACATAGAAGTCTCTAAGACAATCAATATAAAATGGCATTGCCTTTACACACACCTGGTAAAAGGGATGGTTCAGCCAATTACAAGACATAAAAATAAATAAATAAATGACTTCTCTCTAATGTAGTCTCGCCATGTTTGTTTTCGTTTGCCTACATTTTGAGTCATCTGACATGTTTGCTTCCACACAAATAAAATGGAGGTGAAAGACTTTTTTGTGGTGCTTAGAGAATCGAAAAAAATGACAAGTTGTTCAGCAGCAACATCCCTTTCCAAAAACAATGTCCCCATTATTCACAGAGCATCTTGTCAACAGTTAACAGAAAGACCATTTCTTCAGCAGTGCGAATAAAACCAAAATTGTCTGCAGGGCTGGATACCATTAGAAATAAGTCAAAAAATATATTTGAGTTAAACTATGTTTTAAAAAATCTATATGAAATCACATTTAGCTATCCCTTTTCGCAGGCCAAAATAATAATGTGTTTGTTTAAATGCATTGTTAATTGATTTTAATACTAAAACAAAGAGAGAAAAAAGGTATTTATGGAAATATATAGAAAGTCCTTTTCATCTCAGTGGGCTGGAAGGGGCGTGACAGGGTTTGACTGACAGAAGCAAAGTTGCGGTTGTGAATACCAGCAGGGGAACGGGAGACAAATTAAACAAAGTTGTACTGTAGCATACAACTCATGGGTAGAGAGACTACATCTGGATGTAAATGGACATACGGTTACATGCTGTTTAATGTGCTGCAGCTGAACAGCAGTTCTCCTGGTGAATGTTTGCAAGCTTAACTGCAGGCCAAGATGTGTGTTAGCCAGTTAGACAAGAAAGAGACTTCAGCAGGAGAGCTACTGTGGGTTGTTGTTCAGAGTCTGTGTCTCTATCTGTATAGCAGACTGCTGTCTGGCAGTTAGTCAGTGACACTGTCTGTCCATGATAGAAGGGAGATGTTGCTGTTTTATTTACAGATCAGATGTGTATGCTGTTGCACATTTAAAAAAAAGCAATTTAATTTCATTTGGACGTTAAGAGCAGGCTGGAAAGCAGGCTGTTTCACTTAGGGCTGCACAGTATGGTAAAAACCCTCATATTGCGATTATTTTGACAGATACTGCGATGGCTATATGATTCCAAATTAGTGTGGGAGTGATCATTTTTGGATCAGAAATTTAATTTTCACTGGAAAAAACGATTCATTCATGATGATGTGACATTTATTGAAGTCTGAAGTAAACAAACATGTTCTCTTAAATCTGGAGAACAAGATTTATAGGGCCAGGGCATCTCTTCAGAACTACAGTACTTCATTATAATTAATTTTACCTTTATTAAAACATTTCAGCTTCTGTGATTTGGAAATTGCACTTGTTATGTTATACTCATGAAGATCTACAAAATAGTTCTGCATGCTTCGTGCATCTAAGTCCTGTGTGTCCATTGAAGGTTTATGTAAAGTCTTGGCAGACACTCATAGGTTTTGTTCAGATTTTCTGGCCTTGCTCTGACACTAGGTAGGTGTTACACAAACTGGTTCTCCAGGCTTATGGCAGAAATCGATGCAATGATGATTCACCTTAAACTTTGAAACACCAACCACACACAGATCTATACTTGATCAGTCAGAGAAGACAGCAAAGACAAACACACCCTCATTAAGAGCCGAGAGAGGAAAGTTAGATCTCAATTAAGCACGCACTTCTTCATGCAGACTCACACTCATAAACCCCTACACCTGCTGTGTGAGGGCCATTAATCAGTCTGCTAAAACGTCTCAAATGTCCCCAACTTCAAAGACAAACATCAGTTTCTCACGGACTCATAGGAAAGAACATGCTCGTATACAAGCACATGTGTTTGTGCAACACGCACAGACACATTACTCACGTATTCACATCTACTCGCCCCAGAGAGACCCATCAATCATGTGCACATGGTTTTACCACTGATTTGGAAACTGCACACACACAAACATATATAACCAGAGAGGTAAATACACACATTTCATCTTGATTTGCTGGATGATCTCGATGAGCTCCATCTCTGTAGGCATGTAGCCCATGGTTCTCATGCAGTCTGCAATGTCTTTGTAATGGATGAAGCCATCCGCATCGTAGTCAAATTCCTTAAAGGCCTCCTGCAGCTCTGACAGACAGATAAACAAATTACAGCAATGGCAACAAACCGTAAAGTAGGGTAAAGTATTTTTTCCCCCAAGAGTCAAACACACACACATGCACACACAGTGTGTGCAAATACTGATAGTTACACTTTGAACAAAGTTTTAACTTATCTGTAAGTTGTTGACGCCAACTGAAAGAACTACAGCCAGCTCTTAAGAGCAGCAAGTTATGTTGCATTAACTGATGTTGTAGCTCTGACTCATTGACAAACCATTACAGCAGTCTCAGAAACCTTCAGACTCTTACATGAATCACAAAGAGGAGTGCGCTTAACGGGAGAAATATTAATACAATTGATAAAGCTGCGCAAATGACTGGTGATTTATCATTTGTTTGCATCGTAATTACACCCACCACATCTTACCATCTAACTCCTCTGGCATCAGTTCCCTCTCCTGTGGAGCAGAAAAGAAAAGAAAAGACAGTGGAAATAATTACAAGACAGCATCGAAGGACAGGATGTTAAATCAGGATGGCTTTAAAACAGCGAATTCTCCAGAGAAAAACCCCAGTGATAATCTGTTTTTGACTACCAAATTAGAATAACATGCATATCATGTCAACACTGCTGCATGCTGACAGTGAACTCTAATGGGATTTCACCCAGCGACATGTCTTTCTAATTTGCAAAATGACACAATACCACACACTCATTACATGCACGCACACACACACACTCTACATCTGCAGCATCCTGAGGGAGACGCAGCATAATAAGCTCAGTCTGTGTGCATACAAATACACACCCACGCTCGACCATGTGGCAGTTGCAGAAATACTGCACAAAGAAACACAGATACGTGTAAACTAAGACACAGATACACGTACACACTTTCTTACACAGACACAAAACATATCATTTGCATATAACCTTGTGTGTGAAACATTGAGTATTCTTTGCCTTGTTTTGACATTTGCGCAGGGTGATCTCTCCCTCTCTTCCTGCCTCTTTCTCTCCCCTTTTCATGTGTTTTCAGGGAAGTTGAGGCAAGCCAGGAGCTAGGAACCAAACCTCCACGTTGATAGTCATTAAGAATAATGTATCGGAGTGAATTTTATGTGTGCTTAGGGCTTAAAATAGCAATTTGTTAATATATTCCAGTTGTTGCGGACAGACAATTTTGATTAAAACACATTATAATTTGGTCATCAGTTGCAATACCGTGCAAATGCACATCCTCAGGCAAGAAATACACTTCAAATTTTAGCTTAAAAAGGATGAGCTTAGAGGTTTGAAAGCTTGCATGGAACCATTATACAGTTTGTTGGCCAAAAATGTGCTCATATTTTAGCAAGACACATCACATGCATTAATCCTTGAAACAATGATTTATGTGTGTATAGCTTCAATATTAAAAGATCATGATATAAAACTAATCCTCCTTTAAAAGCAAGGAGACAATGCGTCTTAGCAAGATTCCTTTTGAAAAAACTTGACACTAACAATATGCAACTCAACACAGAAACATCATCACATCCACAGGGGAAGCAGGAAACATGCAAACTCAGTCATCTTCGTATAGAGCAACTGAGCCTGACATATGGAGATATTTCTTAGCACACAGACACCACGAGCCTGAGGATATCTATAAGTTCAAAGAGACAAGACTGACACTCAAGCTTATAAAAGCTCTCATTATAGCGTGAACAAATGTGTGCCGATTTGCTGTAGGCTTGTTTTTCCTCACTTTCATCCAATAAGAAAAATTGCTGAGGGTCAATAGATTTCAAAACTAATATAAGGTGGATAGCTGTAACAATTTGCATGTACAATACTGGCGTTTTACTCAGATATTTCTAATACCAGACATTACTTTTATTCCGCTGTATTTTCTGAGGAATTTTTTGGACCTTTTTACCTTATTACGTTTATACGGTTGCTATAGCTATAGCTACAGCCTTTTTGAGGTTTTACATGAAAAGGAAACAAAAAATCCCCAGAAATATGTTGCAATGGAGGACAAACTTGAATGCTGAGACAGTCTTAATGCATTAGCTTCACTTTCTAAAAGAATAGGTGTTTTCAATTTGATACTTAAGTCTATTTAATGCTCATTTTGCATTAATGCTTTGACATTTTTTTCTTTGCTTTTAATCAAGTGTCTGTTTTACCATCACTTTATTTCTACTTCACAGAGAAAAAGGATTTTTCAACCTTTAGTTGTTCTTTTCACAGCTGGAAAAGTGAGAGATAAAAAGGCAAATCAGAGCAGTAGTGAAAGTGAAATGCAAAGAGAAGTGCAATATTTTTCTCCTAATACATGTTGGCACTCAGGGTGGCTAATACATAAATCATACAAGGTCATCCTGCTCAAGTGCACAATAGCTTCAGGAAAAGGAGAGGCTCCCATGGTTTATTTGGAAGCTGCTCCGCATGGCAGCCATTCAAATGATTATTCACTGTATAATATTGCCAGCAGAGTCGAAACACAAATGCAATGCCAGGACACAATTGCATCAAGAGTTATATCACTATACTTGTACTCGGCCTCAAATGCTAAAACACTTCTGATTTATATAAACCTCTTAAGTTTTAATATGTTTGTTGATGCTGCAGCATAAAAAAACACCTCTGTTGCCAAGAGTCCAGAACTGTTGTTTATCCGGCACAAAATCCTCCAGCCTACAAGGGCATATTTAGATAGCAAGGTCAACACATTAATTGGATTTTTTTTTCTTCCAGAAAAGGATTAGACAGCATGCCATGCAGACTCTCAATTCATCTATCTGAACGAGCCCATTAACAGTTAATTTCATTCTGTCTGCCTTCACATGGCCCATTGAACAGCCCACTGCTCTGTAAGCATTACACACGGACACATATGCGAGGTATGTGGATACTTCACACAACACACATGTGGTCCTCTGATAGAAAAGACATTTACACTACAGTTGGAGAATGCACACATATCACTCATAGATGAGTATGGCCCGTTTTACTTCACATCCATCTGCTGTGGCTCTGACATGTAAATGCATCAATTGTTTTTCAGCTATTTGTCTCTGCCGGTCCTCCTTCTTCAGTTGGATCTAATGAGGGCTGACAGTGAACCTTGCTAAGGGGGTTATTAATACTTGTGTTGAGGCAGGGATTAGGACTGCTGCAGGATGGATGGTCTCCCTGCCTCAGTGTCAGAGCAGCAACCAACACAGTCTGTCCTTTATCCTGTGGATACAATGCAGACTTCTCTACCTGGCTAATAGTAAATTCAAACCAGGGACTGTCACAGTAAAACAAGGCGGAACAGGCATGGCAGGTGAGGTAGTAACTCAGGGAAGGATGTGGAAGTGGAGTCCACAGTAGCCCAAGGTCACTGAGAAATGGTTTCCTTTTCCCATAAATTACTTTAAAACAATGAAACAGTCCCATTAGTTATTAAGAAATCTAGTTATGAAACATCATTAAAATGTTCATAGGCACACAACTCCCCTTGGCGTAGATTTCTCTGTTATCTTTTATAGTAAATCCTTTCCTGTGATGAAGGCATTTATGGAAAAGCCTTTGGCTCTGTTTTGTAATAAGGTCTCACCAGGGTCCCATATGGTTTCATGATTAAAAGCATCTTTTATGAGTTTCATACTATAAAATAATAATAATAAAAACAATAAAACTACTACAGCTACTACTACTACTATAATATAAAAGGTGGATACAAGTGACTGAACATATGGTGCTCTGATCTGACAACTGACTGTTACAGTAAAATAAAAAACATGTTTGAGGAGTGAGGAACAAATAAAGACAAATGCCATAAAAATACTTCAAACATGCATGTTGGGAAAACATGGGACGTGGGGGACAACATTAACATTTAACTGTAACAATCTTTTCCATTATGTCAACCAAAGTGCTTTTGTTGCCTGAAACTAATCACAGATGCGAGTCTGGATGAGAAGTCTGGTCTCTGGAGTCAAAGTCCTGCACTTTGTAAACCCTTCATTCATGCATCAAAATTACTGGCTCATTAATAAGCCGTTTGGCATAAGCTGACTTGTCATATTCATGCAGGTTTACAGCATGATAATTATAAGCTGACATGTCTCACTGTTACTGTTGATACTTTCTTCCAACGCTGTTTGCTTCTGCAACTTCTTCCACCACAGCCTCCTCCTTATATTTTAGGTATTGTTGCTTTAACTAAGATTTAATGTTCATTTATGTTTATTAAGGGGGGTTGCTACTCAAATCTAGCTCCCTCAAATAGCAGAGCCTTTTCTTCCAAAACTTACTGTTTTTGTTGTAAACAGTCAATTCCTAGATGGAAGAGTCTCTGAATGGGTATTCCAAATATTGACATCTTAGGACATAATGGTGGTGCATTATCTAAATAATGCATAAATAATTAAAACCTTCTGCATGTGAAATTTTAATTTTAAATTTTAGTAGAACATAGAATAAGTCCTTATAATTACTGTCCATTTCCCACCAATTATTTTAATGGATATTTGCCATTCAGGGTTCTGTCCTTGACAAAAAGTTTTTAAGTCTCATTTACATCCTGGATCTGATCCACATCCATTTTCTCTATGTAAAGATATAACCATGTAGCTGAAGTCTTCCTCTCTGTCTCCCACCACCACAAACACCAGCTTCTTTAGTTTCTGTGAAGGGCCACACTAATCCTCTTGATTACAGGACAGAAAATATAGTACACATACAAATAAAAATACAAATTATAATATTTTATATTACAGTTAAATGTACACTGTAAATCGTGGCCTCTCTATATAAATCAACTAAAGTTTTTAACGGTAATGAACAAGGTGCCATTGAGCTGGATCATTTGTTGGCTCAGTTCCAGTTGTCAGTTGCCCAAGCAATCTGGGATCAGGGTATCAGACATAAACAGAGCCAAAGCTTAACTTGAACCAGCCAGTGCATTCATGGACGGCAGCCCAGTGTCCCGCCAGTATATCATTGTGAAGTGGAATTATTGGAGTGACTTCTTTGAAAGGATTTTTTTCTTTTTGTAGATTTAGTGGATGAGGTAACAAGTCCACAGTCATGATCAGGTGGTTTAATTTTGTAATGTATCGAAGTGGGTAATGATATTGACTTTCCACAGTCATTTGACAGATTCTATATCAGCAATTAATGGTTTGCAAACAGGGTGTTTATTTTCAGATAGTGACCGTTCACTGCAAACAGCTACAACCAGTGTTTATATTTTCAATTGATAGTTAGTTGATAGAGTCAGCTGAACAAATTGACCTATTTTCCAGCTCCAGTCTGTGTTAATGTTACACTGAATGAAGTTGGAAAATGGATCTATTGATTGTATTTCTTTCAGCTGTGACTCGGTCTATAAACCTCCACTTCATCAACCTTTCTTTGCCTGTCTCTTCAAACTATCTGTCCTTCATGGCCTACGGAGTCCCAAATGTACAAAATTAACTGAATTAATAATCATATATATAAATGCAGACTGTAACAATAATTTTGTGTAATAATACAAATGGAGTTTCAAACATCGGCTAATTTTTTCAAAATGTTACTTAATGCAGTTTCCTTTCACAATAACACTGTATTGTAGTTAATTTATTTAATTCCAGCTGCTTTTATTCTGGATGAAATGAATGGATAGTCAATCACATTACTGGTTCTGCCCTATTTGTCTTGATTCACAGACAAAGATGTGACATTGTGGAATAAAATAGTAAGGACATTGGAACAATCGCGGTCATGACTACATGAACAGTGGTCCCCCATGTTAAAGTCAGGTGTTTTGTGATGAACCCAAACCTCTACCCTCTGAGGACTTTGTTGCTCTATTGTAACAACAACTGACTCCTTCCCTTGCTCCAGACAGACAAGACTAATTACCACGACCACTAGAGGGCTTCAACACTTGAACATCTGTCATTTTGTGTCACTTGCTGAAACAACAGGACAGTCTCTCAGGAACAGGTAGATGACTCAGGAAATGATGTGGGTGTCGGGTGTTGACGTGTATTGATGTTACAAGTAGTTTACGCCTGTGACATCATCAGCTTAAATCACCTGCTGTTTATTAGATGCTGTTCTCTGACACCTGCTCCTAAAGATTTTTTTTTATAAAACAGGAAGCTTGAAACTGCACAAATGTCCTTTTTTTGGAGTAACCTAGTAACCAGCAAGTGTGTCAAGACTGTGACAACACACGTGAGTATGAGTTGTACTGTGCTGTTGAACTGACCTGTCCAAACAGCTTATTGAGGTAGGAGATGTAGGCAGCGGCCACCGCTGAGCTGTTGCTGAGGCTCCTTTTACCGCGGTGACCGGCATCCTCCTCACCAGAGCCCTTCCCCTGGGCCGAGGGCGACTTTGAGCTGTGAAGTATGCATTTTTGTGCCAAGTGTTGAGAGCTGTCATCATCAAAGCAAGACCAAGACTTCACTAAATACCTTGAAGTGCCTTTTTGGGTGATTACTCCGTCCAACCTCCCATTAAATAATAGTGAAATGATTGAAAAACGTCAGCAGTTTAATCAGTTGACATCAGTGTTTACGTCAGTCACTTGCTGAAGGAAGGAAGCGTTTCGTAGGAGGACAAGTTTGAAATTCTGAAAGCTTGTTTTGCAGCTAATGCACCAATCGATGGCACTAATTGGGTGCACAAATCTACACAACCCACTCCCCTTGTCCTAATCAATGTTGATTAGAAACAGAGAATGATAATAACCAGAATTTCTTGGAGAGGCTGAGCTGAAGGGCCTTGCTTTTGAATCTCGTAGCTGGCGATCTGCCAGCTGCTGCTCCCCTCCCTCCTCGTGGAGACATGCTAGGAGAGAAAGAGCTTTAATCAATTCAAAGTGCACTTAATGTCTTGTAATCAATATTAATACTTTTTAAAAAATTCTCATAACCAACGATAAAAATCACTAAACTTTGTGGCCTTCTGTTGGAGAATTAAGATGGGTCAGACTGCTGATGGACAGCAGCAGCAATGGGAGACAATTGTTTGAATTTTTACAGACTTTATTACCCAGAAACTAAAATTTAAAAAAATCTTTCCAAAGCATGCTACACCATCTATTGTGTGTCCATCTTTCTCTTGAGCACTCATTACTGTCTAAGAAATAAATCTGGGGATATCTTACCAAGTACAGATTTAAATCTCACCTCTTGATTGAGCTTTTAATTAAATTGTTAATTTGACTTTAAGTGTATTCATTCCCTATTCATTTTCTCCACGACTGTTAGTTAGATCTTACTGACCTGGCGGCAGAGGATGGTCTACTTTCTGGTCCTCCCTTTGCACTTTTCACAGACATCCTGGAGTGAAAAAAAAGAAACATGAAATCTTCCAAAGGAACAGTCAGATTCCAAAAGGCTAAATATTCATTTAACACTTTGATATTCAACATTATTTAAGCTGCATTAATAATTCAACACCTCATAAAGTAGTTATACAGTAGCACATATTCTCTGTTCGTATTTACACATCCATCAAACAAGGAGCATCATTAGCATTCATTTGCAGGCATGTTTCTGACAATCAGTCCATTACCACTCTCCTTTTTAGCTGTGTTTTGCTCTCGTCCTGAGGGAAATATCTTGCCTTTTAGTTTGCTAAATCCTCTACTGTGTTCATCAGCAAGCCATTTGGTGCTGCACTAGGTAGTGTACAGTTAGTTTATCAGGAACGAGGATGATGAATTAAAACAGTAAATTTGTGGGCTGTAAAACCAAAACTATACACTTAATAATGTTGAAATGGAACAGCAGAGTCAGGTGATGATCAATATGAATGACTCTTTTCACATTACACATTTTAACAATTTTCACAATTCGTAAAACATCAAATGTGGAGACAGGGTGCTGTTTAAACTATGACTATTACATCTTGAGGGAGAAGGAGGAGGAATCACTCCAATCCAATTCAGAGACAGATTCATTTGGACAAGAGGACACACACCCAAACAATAAAATCAAAATGATACAAAAGTGAGAGTGGGTGGAAAGCTCAAGACAGCCAAAATGAATGGATCAAAGGAGAGGAGAAGAAGGATGTTGTGAAAGACTGGAATGACGGGAGCGTGAGATGGAGGAAGATGGAGAAGAAAGACAAAGAAAAAGGGTGTATATGAAAATCACGTGTATGACTTGCAGAGGAGGAGGAAGAGGAGAGACTTATGGCTGCCTGAGAGGCAGATTAATGTTCTGTCATGGACCTCTGCGGTTCTGGCTATCAGCGCCTGATGATGAACGGCCCGTACTTGGCACTGATGCACTATAAACATAACGCCTCACTCTGCCATCTCACAAACCACGAAGATTGTGCGGAGACAGATAACCAGGATCTGCTCCAGCGGTCGCTACTTAGGGCCCTCGTATACCATGAGGGCCTTAATGAGAAAAGACATGAAGACCAGCCAGTCCTCTAAATTACGCTCAACCGTTTAATGTGCCTCTGCCAAACGAGCCACATTCCCAACTCCCGCTGGGTTGAACAAAACGTGCCATGACTGAGGAGTGATTGCCTGTCTGTCATGCTCTCGCACAGTCAGTGTGCATGTGATACATTCTGATTGCAACACGCTTAGAGCATGTTAAACTTCACGGGTGGAGATTGGAGGAATTTTCATGTCAACACATGATTACAGTTGTGGAATTCTTTGAAAATTATTTATAGTATCTGTATATACTACACTATACTTTATGCTCATAGGCCTAGTATAGCAATGTATGTTAATTTATGTAGATATGCACAGCAGATCATATATGATGCTGTGCATTAAAGATACATTAATAATGTTTATAAAAACACACAAACAGACCAACTCAATCTGTCTCCTCCACTCCCTCAAACATTCACAAGGCACATGTGAGTAATGCAAGATATCTGGACTTTCTATGGTGTTGCTCTCACATTGTTTGCCTGAAGAATTGCTCTCATCTTCAGTGAGCCCAACTCCCATCAGGGTAAACAAACACACCCATACACACACACAGACTGCACACATGTGTGTTTCACTACACAAGCCATTGAGCAGCACTGTGTGTGTGTCTGCAGCTCTCCTCCCTAAGTGGCCAATTGCTGTCAATCACCGAGCCGACACAAGCAATTTTAGATCCTAATCACGCTAATTGAAGTAATGAAATGGAGGGCCAGGTGGACTGGGCTAAAACAAACACAACTAACACAGCTGATGATGGAGAGCGGGCTCCACTGGAGAGCTGTGATGTTGTGGTAGGAGCTGAATGGGTCTAGCTGGTGCGTTGGGGGTTAAACACTGAATGGATATTCTAAATATATTTTACAAGAGGCACTGGAGTGAAGGGTGCTGGGATTCATTGTATATTTTCTACGAACAAAACTCATACAGCCGCACAGACAGAAAGCAGACTGAAAATAGATATCAAAGAGGTTATTACGCCTCCTAGGCTGCACGATCCTTTAAATCTGTCATTTTGATATATATATATATAAACTGGATTAGGGCTGCACAATATGGTAAAAACATATTTTGACATGATGATACGATTCACGATTAGTGTGGACTGCATCACAAATTTAAATCCTGATTATGTGACATTTATGTACTGTAAACAAAACAGGTTGTCTTAAAGAACAAGATCTATAGGCCAGGGCATCTCTTCAGAACTACAGTACCTCATGATAATGCTGTTCTGTCACAAATTTTACCTTTGTCAAAAAATTGCAGCTTCAGTGATTTGCATATTGCACTTGCTTGTATTGCGATTTCGATAATATTTCGATTAATGCGGAGCGACCACCAATAGTGGTTGTAATTTTTGGAGAATACCTAAAGTGCTTAAATCAACCACTATTATGGCCTTTCATATTTATCGTGTTCCAGTAGTCAATATGAATATTAGCACATATTTCTTACTTAGAGTTGATATGTGCACGTTTCGTGCTTTGAAGAGTAATGGTTTTAAATTGGGTGTACCTAGAAGTAATATCAAGTCCTTTTCCAAAACCACAAATATGAGTACTTTCTGATCTGACATCTTGTCAAAATCTAACGGCTACATTACCCACAATGCAATTAATCCGCAGACAGTTCGGTCAGAGATTTGGGTGTCTTATACCAACAGCAGCTAATGGAGCCCTGAGCTGGAAACCTCCAGCAGAGATGAGGGCAACCTCACGCCTTTCTTACTCACACCAACAGATTTTTTTCATTTTAAACTTGTACTCTTCTCAAGGGACATCTGTTGATGTCTCTGGAGACATTGTGCAGCTCCCTCTGGAGCCACAAAAGCCTACAGTTATTGTCAGGTGTACTCCCCAACACCTGTAAACAGACTTTAATGTGTAAAATCAATGGAGTTCCCCTTTAACCATTTTCTGTTTTTCTGTTCACTGTAAGTTGTCAGAATGAAACACTTGGCACATAGCCTCAGTTTACATCAAATGTCACTGAAATCCCTTGAATAGTTTTTGAGAGACCCTTCCAATTAGCAGGCAAACAGACGAGCCATGGGTCAAAAATTTACCTCACTGGCAAACGTAAAAAACAGAATACAAAGCCATAGATAGAAAAACACGGATTGGCTGTGAGTTCAGGTGAGGCTTCACCCAGCTTTGTACTCTCTCTCTGTTTTCTCTTTGTTTTACGTATTATCTTTCCATTCGCCTGCTGTCCAGTCAGAAGACAATCAATCCCAGAGGGCCAAACCAGCCTGTGTCTGATCCATAAACAACCGATAGTAATGCAATCGGGTCTGGCACTCCATCTTATCTTCACCTATCTTAACACCTCTCCACCACTTCCTCTACCTCCCCTAACCCCCCCACCCTCACCCCCCAGCACTGATTTCATGTCACGGCTCTGAAATGAGACTGTCGCCTTCAGTATTTGGTGCAGATAGAAGGGAACAGAAGGCGAGGATGAGATATTTTTTCTCATTCACAGACATCTTTTCCTGTCTCTTTATTTGGGACAATCTCCTTATTGCTGCTTTGTATAATTCTTGTCTAATTACAACCTCATCCTCCTTGCCTAGCCTGATAATCACACAGTGGAGCTGGTTTAAATAAGTCTGTTGATGTGATTGTAGCAAGCAACGGGGGCACAAATATTGAACCAAAACAAACAGAAACAGTGGGCTGGCCATCTGTCGGCTCGTACAGCAAAACAAACTTGAGATCCAGATAATCAAATACTATAAAGCAGAGAAGAGACGTCTGTCAGTCTCATTAGATTGCAAGAGGCAACCTCAAACATGATCTGTACAAGACAACCTTAGCTGATTGCAGTTGCTTTGAATTTTTAAACATTGCAGAGTAAAACAAGCTGACACTTCTCTACAAATCATTAGTACAGCAAAATATCTTTAAACAAGCTTACCTTCTTCAGCCACCAAAAGAAAGGAAAGAAAAAGAAGATTTTATTCTATGTTTGTTTTGTTTAATCTGATACTTCTTCTTGTTTGTCTTGGCTGATGAATGTGAATGAGGTGTATCTCTATTGTATGAAGCCTTACCTAACCTGAGGATTATATAATGAAAGGTGATTATCCAGCTAAATATGTCGGGATTAGAGATGTAGCTGTCTGCCTCTGTCCTCAAGAACAAAAAGGGCAATGATATTGTCTTACTGCAGATATGTTGAGGAAGCAGATGAGCCTTCCTATGAATCTAGATGAATTTAAATTTGATTCAATCTGTTTTGGTCTGAATGACTTTAGATTTAAAATGCAAAATCATTAAACCTTTTTAACCTCGACTAGCCAACACGTGGGTCCATCATTACAGGTGCATGTTTACAGATGAGTGCTGTCAAACCCATATAAGTTTATTGAAAATCATTTAGTAAATGTTTCAAGTTTTTACACTGTCAGGCCAAAAGTCAATGTCCATGAAAAACAAACCACTTAAACTGACAAAGCGTCAAAGGTGCCATGCCATTGTTCTGACGGCCCATTATTCTGAAATCCCAATAGTCTAAATAATGACCCATTCGTTTTTCGAATAAAGGGCTTTCGGTACAATGAGACATTTTTCGGACTGTTGTGTTATTCACAATATTACCATGGTCTGCATTATTTAAAACATTCTTACTGAATAACACACATTAATTTCTGCCTTTTTAATTTTTAATCCTGATGAGTTGTTTCTGACGAGTTGTTTCCGACCAAGTACCGAAGAGAGCCTAAGTTAAATTGTAACTCCCAGAGAATTAAAAACAATTTTTTTAGCAATGCTTAATTTTTTCAGAAAGACTGATGAAGGAAATGCTGAATGAGAGATTGCATTGAGTTGCAGAAACTAGTGGAGTGGAGCCCAGAAATGCACACAACAGGACTTTGGCTCCCAGGACAGACAGAAGTTCTGGGTTCTGTTACAGAAGTAAGAAAACTTCACTCAAAATCCGCCAATTTGTTAACGCAAATTAATTTAAAACTTAAAAGTCCAGCCTCGGAATATGGCCTTACTCATTAGTATGATGTGTTGTTCACTTCATATGTCTACATAATGACATAAGCCCTGGACCATTGCCGATTAAACGTCACAGTTCCACAAAAGAGTCCAGGAGCAACTCAAGGGTCGCCGTTAGGTCGAACATGTCTGTAATGGCTACAGGACGGGGGGGACCTAATCCCTCTTAGACAGCTGAGATTAGAGGTCTTAAAAGATGAAAAAATGGCCACACTCACAAAGTAATTATTGTTTAACTTTGTTCAAATCTGCATTTGTCTTAGAGTATGGAATGCTGAATGAGGGATTGCATGAGCTTTTGGAACCAATGCTAGCCTGGACTCGACAGGACTTTGGCTCTTTGTACTGTAGGTGAGTTAATTCCTTGGCTGTCTTTGGCTGGAGCAATGCCACATCAGGACACAAGTAACAAACAGAAACAAAGGCAGCCAGGAAGATCTCTCCTCATAAATAAAGTCAATATGATACATAAATAACATGTCAGTATTTGGAACGGTGTGGGGATGCACAACTATGAATCTAACAGACATGTTATTGGATTTTTCCAAAAAGATACCAATGAAGCCATGCTGGGTTTGGTGGAAATGTGTATAAATGTATGCATTTGACAGTTATGTTGCAGCTATTAAACCAAGGCATCTTTGGTTGTTCATTGGATTATTAATTAAAGTGTTGGAGCAAGCAGATGAAGAATATATACTGTACAGTATATATGGCAAGATGTGTGAAAAAAAGCCCAACAGAAAAGAGGAGAATTCAAGGTTTAAGAGGTTAATTAACTAACTGCTGGGAAAAATGTAGATGTCCATTTAAGCCTGAAGTGACAAGTCCACATACTGACGTTTTGGGATGTTAAATGTCATCAGTATAATGACAGTGGATTCACTTTTTGAGGTTTAAGCTAAAGATGCTTTGTAAAGCTGTCTCTGCAGTGGCGGGTAAGGGTGTGTGTGTGTGTGTGTGTGTGTGTTGTACATACATACACAGTTTGAGTGACAATCCTGTCCTCTTTGTACTGTCCATCCTTTCATCACAGAGCGTTTCCTTCACTGATTGACTGCTGTTTGTTAATTAAGTCAGGCAGAGCATGGAGAGGGATTTCATGTCCCTGGGGACATTTTCTATTGAACGCCACACTGTTCATTGACTGCCAACTTGCCTCAAACATGCTTGTCATTGTTGCTGAAAGAACACCTTAAGTTTAGCCTGTGAACAAGGTCAGAATTTTCTCAGTGTGGATATCAGGTTTTCTTTTTTTTTTAACACAAGTGACTCATCTTCAGTCCCTCACACAACAGAGAGGTGTAACTGTCCATACAAGCTCTTTGTTCAGCTCCTTGGCATTTGGCTTTGCTCTGCAGTGGTCAGTGTCTGAACTTTGTCTCGCTTCACTGGACAAACCTGCTGCATGACTCTTGTAAATGTCACGCCTTGCTTTAAAATGCGTAAAAAATGCAAAAGCGCTAAATCTTCTCTGCCTTGTCATTTTAGTAAAAAAATATGCTGTAGGATGCATGAGTTGTAGCGTATACTGAAGCAGCTTTAAACAGGTACGTGATAGTCCAGTAAGTAGAGCAAAAAAACTTTGCTCATGAGAAAACAAAAAGTGCACGTAAGGCATAATCACATTTTTCTGCTTTCTACCCGTTTCTGTTTCTCCCACTCTGTCTTCATCCCTCTGTACACCTCTCTCTTTCCCTGTGCTTTGCCCAGCGAGGCAATGCTGCAGTGGGAAACTGTTGGGAACCTATTCCCCTGTGTGATCAGACCCTCGCCACGCTCAAATATGCTTAGTGCGTCCAGCTAAAGCACTTATTTAGCACTTTGCTTTTTTGAAGAAGAAGAAGTGGGAACTTATTTCAACCCCTTACCTTCACAGAAAAAAGATAGAGGAGTGCAATAATGTTGTCGCATTTCATGCACCAGTCAGCTCCCAGTGGAGTGTAGACCTTGTTGAATTGTTTACTTACGTGGAAATCAACTTTTGTATTTGGCTTGGCTTGGATTGGCGGTAGTGCAATTTTGAGCAACATGTAGCCAAATCTTGGAAATGCTGTTATAGGGCCATATGCTGAGCAGATGCAGTGATATGAGGGACATTTTTCCAACCCTGACTGACAGATAATTACATTAATTTACCACTCACTTTGTTTAGACAGGTACAATTTGATTGAAGTGCAGTAGTACAAAGTGCATGACTTAGACACCAGAGACTTTGGTTTGCATCCTGCATCCTGCATCCTGCATCCTGCGTCATGCATGGTTAGCTTTAAGCAACAGAAATAGGTTGGGAGGGATAGTGCTTTACAGGGTTACACGTTAATAATGTAAACATGTTTTCCTCGTGCCTCAAGTCACTGTTGACCTTTAAGTATTTAAGCAAGATGATGATCTTTACCAAACCTCAACCAAGTGCTGTGAGATGCATTAACATACCCATAAAATGTCACTACAAGCGGTTATTCCAGGGAAAACAGATCTACAGTTTTGAACCAAATATTAGGTGTCCCTGATCATAAGACAAAAATGTAAAGCATACTTACATGGAAGCATACCTTAAACCCCTCATTTGTGTAGCTTGTCACATCCTCCCCTGTTACTGTCTTTGAAGCAGTAAAATTGATTTTCTCAAACATTTTTCAGTCTTTTTTCTTTTACTTTCTTTTATTTTCAAGTTTTTATTGATTTTACCCCAGTATTGTGGACAGTAAACAATGACATTATTTCGAATGTCAGAATGGTCTCTGATTTGACAGACAGAACACATGAACCAGAACAAGAACACAAACCCACCTTGGCTTACTGTCAGCTCCTACCAAATCCCACATCCATCCTCCCAAGCCACATTCCCATATTGCTTGCTCCGACCATGGAATAACATAAAGTAAAAAGGAAAAGGTACATTTAAATACTAATTAAAAACAAAATTAAAAAAGGAAAAGGGGCAGCATATAGTTGTCCTCTGGGTGGGTGGATAGCAGCCCTATCCAGATACTTAATAAAGGGCTTCCAGGTGTCGTCAAAGGATTTGCTTGAGTTTGTAAGTGAAAATCTAATCTTTTCAAGGTTGATGTGGTTCAGGATTTTTTCTTTTTGAACTCTGTCATCTGTGACACTGCTTGACAGACGATTCAGTCCCCAGTGTGATTCTGCAGTGGAAGTCGGAAGTCGCTTTCAACTAGTTTTCACTCGTCAAGAATTTATTTCCTCCGTGGCAGTAAAACGTGTTAGACGAGCAGTCAGAAACTTCTGTAGGTAAAACTGGACTAACAAAACACTTCTAGGACTGGCTCACTCTAAACGACACACTATGAATAGACTAGCCTAGCATCAGTAAGGCTATAAACAACGTACAATGTGACTTGCCACACACGTTAATTAACATTGTTCCCCTATAATGTAGATAAAAATCAAATTTGTGCTTCCTTGCACGAGGGCGAATGCATAATATATGAACATAATTTCTAGAGACAATTGATTATTCCTTGTTAGAAAATCAATTGACACAGTTTTTAATGATATTCGGGCCCTATGTATGTTCCAGAGAAGAAAATAGAAGCATTATGTTGATTCATTAAATTGTACTCTGTGTTTATGACCACATGCATGTGCTGTTTGTATGTTAGTGAGAGGCAGAAGATGAGAGGCTATTGGAAGGGGTCTCATGGTTAATGATGTGTTCACTTATTGGTGACTGATAATGTCATATCAGGAACTAATTGCCTGCACTGTTGCCTCATTAAGCACAGCATGACGTTGTGCCACGGGGCACTGGCTGCACACCTCGCTACAATCACTGCTATTTCAATACATCCCCATTTTTCACTCCTCCATCTCCTGCTCTGCTGTTCATTCTCCTGTCATGTATTGCATCCATGCCGCTTTTATTGTGGGATCTTCAAATTGTGAAAGGACTTTGGGATCTGAAGGTTTCGTTCATGGATTTCATTTCTTGCTGCGGAAATTGATCCGACATCCTCACACAATCCACCTT